AGAAAAATGCGTTTATAATATACATGTTACAATATAACTTTTACAGGGTATATATCCCTAACATGCTGTAGAAATCTGTCCCAGTAACTCATAGGAGTGTCTGCAGACATATAAAGCCAGTGTCGATACAAAAATTCATCTAAGTGCTTGTTTATCATATTTCACTGAGGGAGTGTTTCGATTTCAAGAGGAAGGCACCTAGAAAGCCACCATAATTTAGAACTAACCAACCCTCACAGAATTACTCACTTAATAGTGGTTGTACTTAGATGAATGACCATCGAAAGCCCGGCACTACTTTTGAAAAGTCATTGTCCTTCTACATATCAGTCCTCATGTCCTTCATATCTGTCTGTTTTTCACACAGAAGTCCAAAACAAAATCTATGTGAAACTTGAGAAGATTATTATGACTAGTGTTCACCTGTAATGCTGAGCGATCTGACTGAAGGTCATTCGACTTGGGTGTCTATTGTTTACTTTCGCCTAAATAAGTTTTCCCCTTCTCTTTCAGAAAGGAACACTAACGTAAACCTACTTGAACAAGAATAAGACCGTCTAGCTGGACTTGTTATAAGCGATGACAATTAGCTTTACGCCCGCTCACTTTGCTTATTCAAATACACACATCTCTCAGGCGCTCTTCGCCTTCTTCCTTCTTCGGTTGTGACTGTTGTTATTGAGTGTTACACTTGAAGTTTGGTGTTCCAAATGTCAAGAGGTGAGTTATCTTGATTATAACTACGTCTTTTACCATAATTTCCACCTCAAACAAAAACTGTGCTAATCTGGGCAGTCACTCATGTTCATTGTATGTTTCCTGATTTTGGTGGTGTTTTTATTTTAATGTTGTCAGTTCAAAGTAGAATTCTTCAATGCATAAAGCTCCAGCGGCAAAATTCAACCTGACAGTGGCTCCACGTAGCATTCAAAGCAGCATTTCATTGTTGGAACTTAAGCCTAGTGTTCAAGTGTTGTCTGTTTTATTCACATTTTGTGTTTTGGTTGGTATTTACCTAGCTGTCACACGTATATATAAGTGTGTATTTGTTTGGCATTAACCTCACTGTTTTGACGTATATATAACTGTATAGTTGTAACAAATTAAAATTATGGCCCCAACTAACAATTGTGGTCGACCGGACTGCCACTTTCCGGTGGATGATGGGATGCAGTGTGACAACTGCAGCCTTTGGTTCCACAAAGTTTGCACTGGTTTAACACCAGTAGCCTATAAGAGATGTTGCAAGCCATCATCTCCATGGCTGTGCAAATTTTGCAGCAACCCGTTAGATGTCCTCATCCAAGAGGCAGTAGGACTCTTGATGTCCAAGAAATTGTCGAAAGACATAGTTGAAAAGCCTGTACCAGAAACCTTCGCCAAGGATGGCGGTTCAGGACATAGTTGTAAGATTCAGGGTGCATCACCTCCTGAAGTCTCAGAAGCGAAAGAAGCACAAAATGCCCAGACATCTGTTGCTGCAAAGCGCAAAAGGCAACGGAAATCCAGAAGGGCAAGTAGTGCCAGCATGGCAAAACCAGCCTGTGAAATAGCAACGCCAAAGCGCAGCGTGTCTAGTGCACGAATGGCTTCTAGTCGCGGCGAAAACAGAGTGGGAGAAACGGACTCCACTTGGTTGCTGCCGAAAGGTAAGAAGCTAAACAAAACTAGGAAAGAAACAGTAGCCGAGTTTACCAACAAGGTCTCGACGACTGTTAGTTCCAGCAAAACTCAGAAACCCACGGACTCTAGTTACAGTATTATCATCTGGAACTTGGAGGAATCTAAGAACACAGATCCAGCTGCCCGACATGCAGATGATCTGAAGGCGATCAGCTCCATATTCCGGGAAATACTTCCCGAAAAAACAACTGGAGTACACGTACGAAAGGCTATCAGGATCGGAAAACGAAACCCTGATGCTACAGGAACTCCTCGACGACTACTTAAGGTAGTTTTAGGGAACGAAACAGAGAGGAGGACCATCCTCGACAACGCGTTCAAAGTCAACGACAAAAGTCTAAAAATAAGGCCTGATTGGCCTTTGGAAGATAGAATCAAAAGAAGAGAAGCCGTGGCTGAACTAAAGGCCAGGCTAGAGAAAGGCGAGAAGGACCTCAAACTATTGGGTTTTCGGGTGGTGAGGTCTCGGAAACCGATGCTGCCGAGACCTCTCTTCATAAGCCGGGTGAACACGTAGGTGTTTCGGTGTGCTATACGAACGCATGTAGTCTTAGGAATAAGCTCGCCGAATTAGGAGAGTTATCTGAAAGACTACAACCTGATGTAATTGCTATCACTGAGACGTGGTTGTTAGTGGGTGTAGACTTAACTCCACTCATACCTGGGTATATCTGCATACGAGCAGACAGAGTAAGTAGTCGGAAAGGTGGGGGGGTTGCTCTTTACATCCGGGATGACATAGGGATCAGGTCAACGTTGTCAGAAGCTCATGACAGCGGCACCAGTGAAGCCGCAAGTTGCATCATTAACTTAAACAAAGGCACTTTAACGATCGGAGTTATCTACAGAAGTCCTGCTAGCCAAGCTGATGACTTCGTTCTAAATCACTTGAGGGCGTGGGGTAGTAGAAATAGGTGTCTGATTGTTGGCGACTTTAACGCTCCACATATTAATTGGGGGGAATTAAACTCCACTAGTTTGTATACCTGTTTCAATAGGGAGCTCACATTGACAGTGCTTGAATGTGCACTCGTGCAACATATGCATGCACCAACACGGTATCACCCTGAACATGATCCATCTACTCTAGACTTGGTATTGACACACCAGAAGGAGGACGTTGGTAACATTAGGTGCCTCCCGCCGCTTGGCAGCAGTGACCACATAGTCATTGCTTTTACGTTTAGGATTCATTCTCTCATGCACAGGCCAAAATCTGCTCGTCCAAACATTTGGAAAGCGGATATACAAGGAATCCGGAACGCAGCAACTGTGGTTGACTGGTCAGTTGATACAAGTCAGACTGTCGAGGAAGCTTGGGTAGGATTTAGGAATACACTAGATCGTGTCACTTCACCTTTTATACCTTGGTACACTCCTCGAAAGCCGTCGCATGAACCTCCTTGGATCACTAGTGAAATAAGGAGGTTATTAAGACGGCGAAAGAACTTATGGGACCAATTTGTTATGACAGGAAGGGAAAACTTCCAGAAAGACTACCGCAAAATTCGAAACCTCTGTAAGTATGCGATTAACAAGAGTCGTATAGAGTACGAGAGACGATTAGTACTAGATTGCGTTCATTACCCAAAAAGGTTTTACTCGTATATTAAACGTAGGACTAAAACTAGCAGTGGTATACCGTCACTCATAACCATTAGTGGAGAAGCGGCTGAGTCAGACGAAGGGAAGGCTGAAAACCTCTCTGAATACTTCTGTGACGTCTTCTCGTCTGATAGTACCACCCAGGGATATGGCGAGGTCACTGCCATCGCCACTCAGATGCCCTCAATTGTGGTAGAGCACACAAAGGTTCTGAAACTACTGTCTAAACTGAAGCCAGGTAAATCACCTGGGCCGGATGGACTCCACCCTAAGTTGTTACTTTCCTTGGCGGATATAATATATATTCCGCTTACGGAGATTTTCCAAATGTCTCTGACGCAGGCTAAGCTACCCAGGGACTGGAAGGATGCCATTATAAGCCCTATCTTCAAGGACGGGGATAGGCAATTGGTATCTAACTACAGGCCGGTAAGTCTGACATGCATTATTGCAAAGGTACTGGAAACTATTATAAGGGATCAACTATTAGCTTATGTTGAAACACATGGCTTGTTGGCTGTGGAACAGCATGGATTCCGACCAGGACGATCCTGCTTGACAAACCTACTATTGGCTAGGGAAGACTGGGTTGAGGCCAGAGATAGGGACCATCTGTTGGACGTGGTTTTTATTGATCTTAGCAAGGCGTTCGACAAAGTATCCCACTTAGGTCTCCTTAGTAAACTGAAAGGTTTCGGACTAGACCAATGCCTATGTGAGTGGTTTAGAGATTACTTAATGGATAGAAGGCAGAAGGTTAGAGTTAATGGTGTACTATCAGGATGGAAAGCAGTATCCAGTGGAGTGCCCCAGGGAACTGTATTAGGTCCATTGCTATTCCTATTATACGTTAACGAATTACCAGGGATTCTTTCTTCATCTTCATTATTATTTGCAGATGACATTAAGGTATGGAAAACTGTAAACAATAACGAGGATAGGTTGGCCCTACAAAATGACTTAGATAAATTAGCTGAGTGGTCAAGCCTATGGAGTTTGGAAATGAATGCTAGGAAAAGCGCGGTAATGCACTTAGGTCAGAAGTCTTATACGTCGTACTCCCTAGGGGATGCAGAACTACCTGATGTTAAAGAACAGAAGGACCTAGGAATCATTGTCAGCAACGATTTGAAAACAACTGCAAATTGCAATGCAGCCGCAGCTAAAGCTTTTCGAATGCTATGGGCAATTCGAAGGGCTTTCAAACGATTAGACGAGGGCATGTTCCAAATACTCTACGCAACATATGTCAGGCCTCATCTAGAATACTGCATACAAGCGACGAGTCCATGCTTCAAAAAGGAGGCACATATTCTGGAAAGAGTACAGAGAGTAGGAACAAAATTAGTTAGTGGTATCTCACACCTTCCTTATGATAAGAGGATGGAGCATTTAAATCTCTTCCCGTTATCATACCGAAGGAAGAGAGGCGACTTAATTTTAGCATACCGTATACTTAAGGGTGATTTAGGAACTGACCTTTCTAACCTTTTCTCCCCTTCTAGGATACATTTACGGGGTCACCGCAAAAAGGTGCTCAAACCAAGGACGATTAAAATACGTGCAGAATTTAGATTCTCTCACAGAGTGGTCAACGATTGGAACTCCTTACCTGATTCAGTAGTATCAGCTCCATCGGTGAACGCTTTCAAAGAGAAGTTAGATCTCTGCAGAGATATACTTTGCAAGGATTAACACAGGCCACAAGAGCCTTCTATCCTTATCATCTGAATCTGCCTGGTATTCTTACTGATTCGTGCATTGTACTTATCTGGGTTTTGTCAAAATCCTTTTATCTTCCTCAACGTCCTCAAAGGGAACTGGTACCATTAATTCTAGTAATACCTTCTGTCAAGTGCATTAGTCTGATTTGTGTAGTTGGCTCACCAGTGGCTTCTGAATTGTAGTGTGAACTAGGAATACTCGATTTAGGGTCAGGATAAGAAGTAAGCTTCTCTGTTATGATAAGGTGTCGACTTTCGATTCTTTCAGCTCAGGGAATGTAGGGAGGTGTTCTGCTTATATCTTATTTTACATAGTGAGTGATTTTAGAGCGATTGTACTGTTAACAGGTGAAACATCACTGTCGAGTCAACCTCTGACACATCTAGGCTACTTATCATCACATCAGAGAGGTTTTCAATCGAGAAAAAACTAACTTCCTCTCTCATTAGATTCACAGAAATCTTTGTCACCTAGATCTCATCTGGTAATTCAAATGTCAGTGTAGGCCAGGCAGGTCATATCTTCATTCTTCGATGTATCGTAGATCACGCCCATACTTATCAGCACCCGACATTTGCCATATTTCTTGAGCTGCAAGCAGGATTCGAATCACCCGAACAAGAGGTGCTGTCCTCATGTTCGGTCATGAAAGCATATCTTACTAATGAGGGCAATACTAGAGGTCACGCAGCCATGCAGGAGTTTATGGGAAGTTTTCATTTGAAATGATAACTACTAGTAGTATCCTGTATGAATGTACTCACTTTTTGTTTAATGTCATCACAGGGGTACTACCGGAGGTGACGCTTGGTGAATTCTACGTCACAAGGATATACAAATTACCAGGAAGAAGTGTCAGTGATACAGTGCTTATAGGTGAAGAGAGATGTGGACAAAATGCGAATTCCTCTAAATATCTTAGTATGTATTCCTCTTGATCTTAGTATGTTTGTCGTGTGGTTAACTCCTATCACACCTGAAATGATGCTGCAAGACTGACCTGCACCTGCTTCCAGCTTGAAGAAAGGAAGTTGCATCAGCCCAGACATAAGAGGCTGGTGTGGCGTTTGCCAACTTGTACCATCTCTAGCGATGACGTCATGCCTAGCTATCGATCGCCTTGCTAGACGAGCGATGTTAGCAGCAATAGGATTAGGTTGGAAAGGAGTTGGGAGCAGTCCATGAAGTCGTTGGCAGTTGGTTTGAGGTAGCCACATAGAGAAGGAAATACAAACTACCTGGTTGAGATCCTTGTGATAGTAAGACAGCATGTTTGGCGACCATTTGTAGTATGGCTCATGGTCGTTCTGAGTAACAGGTGCATTCACTCTTTGTGATTTTCCATATCGACTAAGCCGTGCTAATATTCTTTTTTTACTCATTTCCGTTAATTGTAGTCCCTTGGATCTCGTTATATCCATCTCAATATATTATTTCAATGTACCGGTAAGAGACTGTATCCTAAAACGCCTTATTACTTTCAAACTGGTATGAGAATGTGAGGTTTAGTCACTGTACACAACTGCAACATTCTGTTGATAATATACCATATATCGTAACTTCCTTTGCTTTTACAGACCACGAGAGACGCGCCCGCTCCAGGTCACACGACCGACACCGAGATCGTGGTGACGTATATGCTCATTCCGGGAGATATCAAGATCGCAGAGATCACGACTACGATGAAAGAGACGTGGACAGAGACAGGCATCGATATGAAAGAGAGAGGAGAGATCGCGACAGCCGAAGGAGAGAAGAACACAATCACAGTGATGGAAGTTGGAGACGTCCTCCACGTTCTCGGAGTCATGTAACTGAGACTGAGGAGGAGGTGATTAAGTATGCAGAAGGTAATCCTTTTTCGCTATATGACAATTTTATCTTTCAGAAACACCAGCAGAACCCGAAACTGACTTAGAAGCCGAGATAATGCGAACGATGGGATTCTGTTGTTTCAATACCACGAAAGGCAAACGTGTTGTAGGCAACAGTGTTTATATTGCCAACATAATGAAACAGCAGAATAACCGTTAGTATATAAATCGGCCCCTTGACCATGTTGCTTAGATATTGTGATCATCTTTGTGTTGTGTGTATCACTGTTTTCGTCTCAAGACGCTAGTTAAAACAAAAAAGATTTGGGTAAATGATAAATGCCCATATTGAAATCAAAACGAAATTTTGAGCAAACCATTGTTTTCGATAATTTCTTCAGGCTCTACAGTTATAAATCCATGAATAATAGAGTACATATAGCCAGTAAAGGCAAATGAAAATAATATCAGAAACTGTATTGGGGTGCATGTGTAAGTTGAGGTGATAGTCATTATTTAGCATAGTCAATTAATTGTGTATAGGGTGTTTTCGTCAGAAAAATGTGATGAAGTGTGAATGAACAATTAGGTGATATAGTGTAGTTTTATAGTCAACAGAATACAAGTTTCCTTGGGGTGAGAAAATGCGGTAACCACAAAACACATGTAAAGACGTTAAAAAAATGAGGCACTGGATATGAGGGCTGACCGATAATGTCTAATGATAAAATAAATGAAGAGGCTAAATTGTAAAGTGCTACAGATGTGGTAGGTTTAGTATAAAATCATGAAGTTTGACAAAATAAGGGTAACAATAAGGTGAAATAAACTGGGTGGAGAAATGGATATTAAAGACACGATATCACAAAATAATGATAATAATAGTACCAAAAAATTATGATCCTGGTTACCTTATAGTGAGCCAGGGTAGACAAAGAGAGTGAATAAGTTTTTTCTGTACACATAGATCTGGTCTTTCTCTATTAATCTCTAAAGCCTCAGCTATGGCTAGGAGGCGTAATCGTGTGCCTTTGGGGAAACTGTTCGGTATTCGATTCACCACTGTAAATGACTCATCTACTTTGATGCTGTGGTCGCTATCCACTAGATGAGACAGAATTGCACTATTAATTGATTCGGTTGTTCTTTTCCCAAGCCAAACAGGAATATGTTCAAGAGTGCGTAGAGATAAATTCCTCTGGGTACGACCTATATAACTAGCTCCACAGGAGCAGTTAAATTTATATACGCACATTGATGTCGCCATTTTGGGCAATCTATCTTTAATGCACGGTGTCAGTATCGGTTTGGTTGAGAAACTGACATACAGTTTTGCGGCATTAAAAGTTCTTTCAGTTGATCTTGTTAATCTACGGTCTAATATATCGCTGGCTATATCACCTTTGAATTGTACATTTAAGTAAAGCTTTTTCTTACTTACTGTGTCTCGCTTGGTATTATGTGTAGTTTCGTAGATATACTTCTTTACAAAGTTGGTAGGGTAGTCATTTTGTAGCAAGGCGTTTGTAAGATTTTTTATTTCATCTTCAATATAATCCTCGGTACATATGCGTGTTATTCTATGACTAAGACAGCGAATTAGGTTGCGCTTATATTGTATAGGTATGAAGCTATGGAAGTGGGTGTATTGTCCGTTCCACGTCGCTTTCCTATAGATGTTTCTTTTCAAGGTACCGTCTGATCTTTTTGTGAGAAGAACATCGAGAAATGGAATACTACCTTGGAGTTCCTCTTCATAAGTGAATTTAATAGCTGGGTGTACCTTATTTAAGACTTGCAACAGGTGTTGTCTATCCAAATTATTGTTACAAATGATAAAGGTGTCGTCAACATATCGACAATAATAATCGAGTTGGTTTAGTATCTCTTTTAAAGGACCATTTTCCAATTTGAATAGAAATATGTCGGCTAATAAGGAGCCAAGGGGAGAGCCCATAGCAACCCCATCTATTTAGCGGTAGTACTCCTTATTAAATACAAATCGAACGTTCATGGTGCATCTTAGTATTAACTCTTTCGATTTTCTTGGTGTGATTCGAGTTTCTATTTTTTTTCTACGAGTTGCTCGCACATTTAGTCGAAAGTTTCCACAAAAGGGACGTTGGTAAATAGTGATGCTACGTCGAGCGGGAACATAGTTTTGTCTCCTAGGCTCATATCTTTAGTGTTTTCAACAAAGTTGAAGACATCTTTTTATCTATATTTAACCACCTAGCGATGAAGCGGTTCTAACAGTTCCACCAAAGATTTGAAAGCTAAATGGAAGGTCGAGTTTGAGATGTGTAGAATTCGTCGTAGGGGGATTCCCTGCTTGTGTATCTTGGGTAAGCCTTAAAGTCTAGGCGTATGAGTTCCTCTGGGCTTCAGATCGTCGAAGGTGGAACTATCAGTTAGATTTTTATTTTTAGAGACTCCAAAGTTTGGACAAATTGGTGTTCTGTTGCTTCATTCGAATCTTTACTATTACCTAACTTTTGAAACTTGGAACGGTCTTCCAGTATGGTGTTCATCTTATCAATATAGTCGCGTTTGTTTAAAAATACTGTACCTGATCCCTTGTCTAGTTTTGTGATAATAATGCTGTCATCCGACTTTAGTTTTCTGAGGCATTCTCTATGCTTTTTAGTTAATATACTTTTCTTGTCAACCTTGGCATTATTGTATTGATAACAACAATCAATCAAGGTACTTTTAAATCTGTCTAACTCATGTTGGGAGGACGGCGTTATGTCAAGTGTCTGAATGAAGAGGTTTTCAGACTGTACTTCTGTTTGTAATTGGTCAATATAAACTCTTTTATCACAAAATTTAGGGCCTAGTGACAACACTTCCATAGCAGTCTTATCTAAAGTCACACTGGAAAAGTTGAAGACGTACCTTTCAGGGTCCTTGTGCTAAATAAAATTCTAACATATTTTGTCAACCAGCCAGGTGAACGCTTATGGCGAGTTGTCATCTGTTGTGGTGACAACTACTGGTGTCCGTCAGGTACGCCCATTGTTCCGATTTCTGTCTAATTTCACCATAGACGTACTGATTGAAATAACCTTAACTCACTTCAGATACTCAGCGATTGTCTTGTCACCAGGGTATAATCTTTTTGACTCAGAATATGCAGATGATATTCATATGTGGTGTCCGTCAAGGATGCCCATTATCTCCTTTTCTATTCAACTTCATCATAGATGTGCTAATGGACTTAACCCTAAGTGATTTCAGCGACTCAGGAATTGACTTGCTACCGGGGAATAATCTCGTTGACTTGGAATATGCAGACGATATAGTCCTTCTGGGCGAAGACGCTGACGAAATGCAGAGTCTTCTAAACACCTTGAGCCGCAATCTACGAATGTTTGGCATGCGATTCGCTCCCGCCAAATGCAAGATAATGTTACAGGACTGGACTACACCGACTCCTAGATTAGAAATTGGAAGTGAAGTGGTAGAGCACGTTGACCGCTTCACTTATTTGGGAAGTACCATCAGCCCCAACGGGCTGATCTCTGACGAAATCTCAGCACGAATACAAGGGGCTCGTTTCGCATTTGTTAGTTTACGCCGTCTCTGGCGTAGCCGAGATGTTCGACTATCGACCAAAGGGCGGGTGTACTGCTCATCAGTCCGCTCCGTCCTCCTGTATGGTTGTGAGACCTGGCCACTGAGAGTGGAAGACATGAAAAGACTAGCTGTCTTTGATCATAGGTGCCTGCGCTCCATTTCCCGTGTAAAGTGGCATAATAAGGTGAGCAACATTGAGGTTAGGCGTAGAGTTCTAGGTAAACAGGGGAAATCAATCGACGAAGTCGTGAAGTTACAAAGACTGAGATGGTTAGGACATGTGTTACGTATGCCAAGCCATCGCCTTCCTCGACGAGCAATGTTAGCGGATATAGGGTCAGGCTGGAAAAAAGCTAGCGGCGGTCAAACAAAAACTTGGCCTCACCAGTCAATGAAATCCACAACAGTTGGTCTAAGCCACGTAGGAAGGTGTAGACTTCCAGGCTGGGGTCCTCGGGACGGTAAAAATTTATGGTTGGAAACAATTGGTGACATGGCTCAAAATCGTTCTCAGTGGCGCAGATGCACCCACTCCCTGTGACTTATGGTCTTCAATGAAACTGTCTTGTATTTCTTTATTACTCCTTTGTCTCACCCCTCTGCTCACTGTTTCTATTATGCTTTTCTTCTACTTTCTTCTCTTGCTTCGCGTGCTACACGGAATGTGGCGACTTGAACTTCCGCACATTTGTGCAAAGTTCTATGTCGAAAACAGACAGACAGATGATATACTCCTAGGTAGTGATGCTGACAAAATCCAACAGAGTCTTCTGAACACTGAGCTGCAATCTACGAATGTTTGACATGCGATACGCGCCCATCAAATGTAAGACGGTGCTACATGACTGGACTAGATTGACTTCCAGCTTAGAAACATGAAGTGAAGTGGTAGGGCACGTTGACCGCTGCACTTATTTGAGAAATCGCATCAACCAATGCCAGCGTGTTGATCGCTGACGAAATCTCAACAGGGATACAGAAGGCTCGTTTCGAATATGCCAGTTTACGCCGTCTCTGTCGTAGACGTGATGTCCGGCTATCGACCAAAGGACGTGTGTACAGCTCGGCAGTCCGCCCGTCCTCTTCTGTGGCTAGCTGTGAGACCTGACCATTGAGAGTGGAAGACGTGAAAAGGCTAACTGTCTTTGATGCCTGCGTTCTATCTTTCGTGTGAAGTGGTATAATAACATCAGCAATATTGAGTGAGCGCGGGGCACTAGGTACGTGGGAGGTAAAATCAATAGACGAGGCTTTAAATTAACACCGATTGACATGGTTAGGATATGTGTTACGCATGCGTAGCCGTCGCCTCCTCTGACGGGCAATATTACCTAACATAGGGTTGGGGCTGAAAAAAGCCAGTGGTGGTCAAACCAAAACATGGCATCAGTCCATGAGATTCACAACAGTTCGTTTAAGCGGCGTAATCGGAATAAGGATGAGGTGTGAAAGTCTATTAAGCACTTTGTTCGCGCAAACACTATTATGCAGGAAGTCGCACTGCAACTTTATATAAATTAAAAGACTACGAATGCCCTGCTCCCCTCTTCATTATGGGAAGGTTAACAGCACATAGGAATCACTTCACAAGATTCTCTATATTGAATACTTTGGGGATGAGCAGATATTCTTGGAAATCACTTGACCCATATGTGTGAGTGAGGTTGTAAAGAAACTGTCAAGACGCGTTTAGTAATAGATTTGCCATCGAGATTCCATAGTGAAATCAAAAGTGTATATAGTTTCACTGAATCGTATATGCTCCCTGTATGTAGGTGATGTTCGTCAAGTGTTCATTTAAGAATTTCTGAAGGTTTTAAATCAAGGTAAAAGTGAAATGCACAATTTCAAGAATCCACTAGGTACTGGTAGGGCTATTGATCAGTTATACTGTGCCAGTCCTTTATCAACATGATTTATCTGGTTACCAAGTAAATCAGTAATCTACCTAACTTGTAAATACTGATGATGAAACGCGAATTGGGAAGATCCAGTTGGTTGGAAATCTGCTCTGCTCAGAAGTATATTCGAGTAGAATATAAAAGTCAGGATTATTGAGAGAAAGAGACTTAGAACTTATCTAACTAGTAAGGCTGAAAAGCAAACTCGGAGAATGTGTGTATTCACTGTAGAAGGAAAGAATGCTAAAATAGCATTCCGCCCTGTTCGTATATGTAGACGTTAGAATTAAAAACCTAAAACATTGAGGGGTGCACTACAAATGTAATCAGTTAAACTAGTAACTGCTATAAATAGACATATATTCTTGTCACAAACAGAGTCCCACTTCTTTTTTTTGATAGCTCATAGCCCATATTATTTGGTTATATGTTGTGCATGGCAAATCAAGGTCTTCCGTAAAGTGCGATGTAGACTGATTGGCTAGGGTCGTCGAGACTGGGTGATATGACTGAAAATCGTCTCAGTGGTACAGGTGTACTCACCTTTTGTGGTCTCCCACACCCATTACACCCTCATGCATTCCGATGATGCTATTCTTCCTCTTAAACCTCTGGAAAAACTTTTATGATGTATAAAGAACTATTTTTCAAATTCCGTCACGATTTAGGTATTCATTCTAACCTGCACGTGCAAACCAAAACACGAGATTTCTCGAAGATACTGTCGTTTAGTATACATAAATACAATAAATAGAATATAAAAACCTGAGATTGTGATGTGTCTGGTCTGTATGCTGTCAAATGCGCTATCACTGTATGTGAAGAAGACGAATTAGCAAAGATGTGTTCAACATGATCCACAGTCAGTTTCCAGATAGAGAATAAACACATTCTTACAAAGATTGTTCAGCAAACAGTGAAATATGGAGAAGGTTGTACGACATATATCGCTTAATCATAAGGAAATAATTACGCCAGGTTAAGTGAAATGTTAATGCCCCCGTGAGATAAATTTCATTGGTACTCGTTGACTACGGTTAAGAAATAACGACATGGTAAAACATTATAGGCTTATAGTACCTGCTGAAAATGAGCAGTATAAACTAAACGAATAAAGCAGTAATGAGGAATACAAAAGGAAAGGAAATGACTTTGATTTCATGTATGGGATTACTGTGAATCCAGGAGCCTAGCTTTAACCCTCCACCTTAGGAGCAAGCCTAGTGCCTTCACGCTACGAAAGTCAAACACGTGAATGAGCAAGCAAATAGGTATATGAATTACAGTAGGCAAGTAGTTTTATAGTGAGTCAAAATTTTACAGTGAGCAGAAGTACTACAGCCCTGCAGTGTTGCTTTAGATGATTATGAATTGCAAATTGATTAAAAGTACGAGTAAATAAAGGTGTTAATAAAGTTTAACAGACACGCGTTAAATAAATAAGGTAGGGAGACGAAGTACTTCCAGAGATGTGTTGATCTGTGCATTTGTCATGTTCAAATCCAATAAAAGATGAATGAAGTGGTATTATGATGCCATAACGTAAAGTTGAAACAAAACGGGAAAAAGTTCTGTAAATCACACCAAGTTGTAGCTTCATGCTGTGTACTGTCAAAGCTTCCGAAATAAATGCATTCACATCTCTTTGGAAAGACTGTCGGAACCCTTAGACTATCCCAAAGAATGAATCAGAGCCTGCGTGATCCTTATATACTATGTATATCACTATGCACAGTGATGGCGAGCTACCAAGAGTGGTAGCCACATTGCAAACTGGACTGATGGGATTCGGTCTGAAGCAAGGACATGACTAGACACATCACACTTGTTACTAGTGTCAAATTTAAAAACGTTCTTTATACCGAGATCTGTAAGAGCAGGTGAATATATAAATACACACGGAACTAGACAATTGTGTTAAAATTTACCTTGGTATTAGGGTACACCAGCTGACTTCTAGAATCAGTTATTTGTACAGTGACAGGGAAAAGTGTTCTCCACTCACTGTCTGTCTGTCCGTTTTCGACATAGAACTTTGCACAAATGTGCGGAAGTTCAAGTCGCCACACTCCGTGTAGCACGCGAAGTAAGAGAAGAAAGTAGAAGAAAAGCATAATAGAAACAGTGAGCAGAGGTGTGAGACAAAGGAGTAATAAAGAAAAACAAAGCAGTTTCATTGGAGATCATAAGTCACAAGCAGTGGATGCATCTGCGCCACTGAGAACGATTTTGAGCCATGTCACCAATTGTTTCCAACCATAGATTTTTACCGTCCCGAGGACCCCAGCCTGGAAGTCTACACCTTCCTACGTGGCTTAGACCAACTGTTGTGGATTTCATTGACTGGTGCCAAGTTTTTGTTTGACCGCCGCTAGCTTTTTTCCAGCCTGACCCTATATCCGCTAACATTGCTCGTCGAGGGAGGCGATGGCTTGGCATACGTAACACATGTCCTAACCATCTCAGTCTTTGTAACTTCACGACTTCGTCGATTGATTTCCCCTGTTTACCTAGAACTCTACGCCTAACCTCAATGTTGCTCACCTTATTATGCCACTTTACACGGGAAATAGAACGCAGGCACCTATGATCAAAGACAGCTAGTCTTTTCATGTCTTCCACTCTCAGTGGCCAGGTCTCACAACCATAAAGGAGGACGGAGCGGACTGATGAGCAGTACACCCGCCCTTTGGTCGATAGTCGAACATCTCGTCTACGCCAGAGTCGGCGTAAACTAACAAATGCGAAACGAGCCCCTTGTATTCGTGCTGAGATTTCGTCAGAGATCAGCCCGTTGGGGCTGATGGTACTTCCCAAATAAGTGAAGCGGTCAACGTGCTCTACCACTTCACTTCCTATTTTTAAACTAGGCGTCGATGTAGTCCAGTCCTGTAACATCATCTTGCATTTGGCGGGAGCGAATCGCATGCCAAACATTCGTAGATTGCGGCTCAAGGTGTTTAGAAGACTCTGCATTTCGTCAGCGTCTTCGCCTAGAAGGACTATATCGTCTGCATATTCCAAGTCAACGAGATTATTCCCCGGTAGCAAGTCAATCCCTGAGTCGCTGAAGTCACCTAGGGTTAAGTCCATTAACACATCTATGATGAAGTTGAATAGAAAAGGAGATAATGGGCATCCTTGACGGACACCACTGGTCGTCATCAGTTCAGATGACAGCTCGCCGTAAGCCCTCACCTGGCTGTATGAGTACGAGTAGAGTGCCTTAATCAGTGCAATATATTTTCTTGGAATTCCCTTTACAGCCAAGCATCTCCAGAGAACTTCCCGATCGACAGAGTCGAATGCTGCCTTTAGGTCAAGAAATATAATGACTGTTGGACGCCGGTAGGAATTCCTATGTTCTAGAATCTGTCGGAGGGTGAAGATATGATCAATACACCCTCTTCCTGGTCTAAAGCCTGCCTGGCTCTCTCGTGTTTGTGCTTCCCGAGCACCACTCAGTCTACGCATGATTATTGAGCCTAAGACTTTAGATACTATATTAGTCAAGCTAATCCCTCTGTGATTATCACAGGAAGACTTGTCTCCCTTCTTGTATATGGGGATAATCAGTGACTTACACCAACCCGATGGGACTTCTTCTGATTCCCAAACGCTGCCTAGTACCTCAGTTAATGCAGACAGTAAGCTGTCTCCACCGTACTTAAATACCTCTGGAGTCATTCCATCAGGTCCCGCTGCTTTGCCTAGTTTCAGATTGGTGACAGCTTTAGTAACCTCAGTTAGGGACGGAGGACCTGTGTCTATATCCCATTCAGGGAGGTGTTGGATGCTCGGAAGGTTGAGCGTGGCTGTGGGCCAATTAAACTGCTCCTCATAATGCTCTTTCCAGCGATCCAGTCGTCTATCCAGGGAGCTAATTATAGTGCCATTTTTTTCCAAGATTGTCTCACTAATGATTTGTCTTCTCCCACCCGTTTCCCTGATGAGTCTAAATAGTAGCCTGGTGTTGCCTATCCTCGAAGCTTTCTCCATCTCTTTGGCTTTTGTCACCCACCACAGTTCACGGTCCTTGCGGAGACTTTTCGTAAGTTTCCTCTCCACTCACTGTCAAACTTAAACACGCAGACACAAAAAAATTGATTGTCATTGTCTATTGTAATTCATCTACATAAACACGATTGTCTAACTATGGAAGTGAAATCGTCGAAAAAAGATTTCCTTCGTTCAATTCATAGTTAATTTTTCAGTGAGAATTAATAATATGGACAGAAATGTGCTGAAAAATTTCATTTAAGTCCAGTCCATGAGTAAGTGATTCCCCAATTAGGCTGAATGTAGTTTCGGGTATGCAGTAAATTTGACGTTTTCTCCTAACAAACAAGTCATCATTTGGTAGCAGAATTATTAGTTGGAACTACTTCTATTCTGGATCCGAGTATGAGTCGAAAGATAAGCACTCAGTCTGAATTTCCATCAGACGAGTCCAAAATAGGAGGATACCGACATCTTAGATTCCAGCGCTAGTCACCATCAGCTGGAGTAATGGAATAACGATTATTCAATATATCCCGATAAAACATTATGAATCATTCTTACAGAAATGGCTGTTTGCAATCTGTAAAATTATGGGAAGATTTCAATGTATACAAGTGCGCTATGTACTGATCATCCTAACGCATACATAGTTAATTGGTATTCAACTCCCACTAAGGTCACGTGATCTTATTGATTTCTTCTCAAGGCTATGGCTGTTTAAACTCACCCACCTAAACTGTTGAAGTCTACTGGCCTACTGATATTCTCCTGTAAGAAAACGGAAAAGATATTTTGAAAAATAACTAATTAGTGATAAAATATTGTTTATTTTTCTTTAAACTGAGTGATGCGACGTCCAGCAAGTGATGTTAGACAGCGTGAAAGTGGTAGACGTTCATCACTTGAAAATAATGGTTCAAGACGACGTAATTCTAGTGTCCCATTCCATAATGGACGCATACATGGCATGAATCCAAATTCAATGGATAGTGATACTGACTTTTTGTGTGATCGTGCTGTCGAATTTATGGAATCTGGTGATATACATAGTATAGTTGCAGTGGAATTAGCTGAGCAAAGTATGTATTTTGAAAGACTATTAAGATATCATCATGGCCGAGGAAATATACGTTTACCAGAATTTTTAAATCCTGGCTTCCCATCAGTATTAGAGTATATACGTAAGGGGACAACAGAGATAAATCGTGAAAATGTTTATCATATATTTATTGCAGCTGATTTCCTATTAGTACCAAAATTGAAACAAGAGTGTGCTAACCTCCTGAAAGAGATAGCCTCAGATTCATCGACCGCCATCTCTTTGTGGTTAACATGTAGATCCCTTTACTGGCCTGAGGTGGGTATGATGGCATTTCAAAAGATATTAGAGAATTTCGAAAATGTATGGCAATCAACAGATTTTCAAAATTTAGACGCTGTAGATGTACGTGAAATTCTTCATGAAGATGGATTGAATTGTAAACGTGAGAAGAATGTATTCGATGCTATCATGAGATGGGTTAGTGAGAATTTCAAAACACGTATACACTATACACTGGAATTATTATTATGCATACGGATTGGGATGTTGTCAACAGCAGAGTTGGATTATATTAAAAATCATGATTTAGTTCGTGTGATACCAGAATACTTTGATATACTGAATCAGTGGCCTAACTGTTTAACTCTAACTAGTAATCCGATTATTGCGGCTTATGGACAACGATTTATTACGCCAAGATTACCTCATGAAGTAAGTTACCCAGTGTGTGTGTGTGTGTGATTGAGTCAGAAAATGCAGTATTCTCATCCTTTAACTAGACGGTAGTCTAACTATCCTGAGTAAAATCCTAAGTATCACATTAAGTGAATAGGCTAATTTATAGACCGGAGTTGTGTATTTGTGTGTAGGTGTACGTGCGGTTGAATTCCTTAAGACTTCCAGTGCAAGAACTGATACTGGATCATAGTAGTGTGGTGAGAGCAGGCTGCTAGCCAATTGGTAGACATTAATCTAGGCTGATTCAACAACCAATCACAGCAGACTTAACGTGGCAAAATATGATTCGCAGATAGAGAACTCTATAGCTCGAGGAATCCCGAAACAACCAATCAGAAGACTGCGCTTATCTACTCGCATAAGCTATAATAATGTATGTGAAATATATATATATACGCGTTGATTTTCGTAATAAACCGATCTGTTGCCTGGCCTTTGTCTTCTGTTGTTACAGTAGCACAGAGACAGTAGTCGTTGTATACCGAAAGCTGACGTAAATATGGTATCAGTGTATGAATGATGCTACATACTACTGACTGATTAAGATAAGTAGGAATTCCACACCAGTCACAGCAACCAGTATTAATTGCTAATTTTTTAATAATTATTTTTTCCTTCACGTTCCCGGTAGAACATAGAGCTTCAAGCTAGTCGCTTGAAGTTTCTGTAGCAGTGTTTATTTTTAGAGGATGGGGTGGCTATCCTCATGCCAAACCTTTCCTCTTTACTAGTCTTATTACTGGCTTAGCGAGGTAAAGGAGTGCGTTGGCCGGGGATCGAACCCCGGACCATGTGCATGGTCGGCGAGTGTCCTAACCGCTTTGCCACCGACGCAACTGCTAATTAGCCAGACCGAATTGATCTAAACACCACCATACAGCCACTTCGCTAGTTTAGGTGCCGAATTAATCAGAGTTGTGACGGGTTTGTCTCAGCTCGAAGAGCTGAATCAGTTCAAACTGCCCTCTTTCTGGCTAGCTGATTGGATGATCATTTATGCTACAACACTACTTTCTTGATTACTTTTTGTCCGGCAGATCACATACATTTCGCGATCTGAATACTTTTGGTTTCCAATGCAAACTGTTTTGTGAAATTTCAACTCTAACTGAAGAAATCACAAATTACGCTTTTGAGTCAATGCATTAACTGTATACCTTTCGGGATTTCAATTTTCTGTCTAGGCTTCTCAAGATGTCTGGAATTAAGGGGAAAGAAGTATTCACTCAGTTTTCGTCATCATGCGGGATTTCCCTATTATTGATTTCATTTTGCTCTATAGTGTTGATGCCTATGTCTTGTGTGTTCTTTATCCACCTATGTGCTTTGTTTGATTCCCTTAGACATTTTTCCTGTTAACTCACTTCCTACTCTTCTTCGATTATTCTGAAGATCATGATAACTTAGGATCACACATATATTTTGTCTGAGGTGTAGAGACTAAAACCAACTTGTTGAGGTCTGAAGGCAGAGGAGCGTTTCTTGTGTCCTATTCTATAGTTGTCCAAGAATTCCTTGAGAAACGTACAGTCACAACGAACAGACGATTATTCGTTACTAGAACCTGTGGTTCTGTTCAAAAGTAGTCATATCAAGGACTCAAAATCACCTGAACATTTCCGTTAGACAGCTGTACAGATCACATTCATTTCTAGCACAAAACAATTACTGTACAACGAAATTCGTTAACCGAGGTTCAACTTCAAGAAATACCTTCGAATCTAGTGGAATGTACCGAAAAAGGGTGGAATCAAAATCTTTGTCTACAAGAATCACACACTGATGCTTCCCACAGACAGTCCAAGGTCAGAATCACCTTGATTCGCTCAAACCAAATCATATCGCACAACACGTTATCTATGTATCATATAACCTCTAAGAGAAGCATTAAAATTAGAGATTGAACAGAAGCGGAAACAAATAATAAGGAGCAAAACAGTATGTGATATGCAAATATCAGAACAATGCTATACAGTCTAGGAGAAATACGGATAATAACTTCACAGTTAGTGGGAACACCCGATTGATTTTAAACAGCGTATTTTTATATGGTTGAGGAGGGTGTTTCAAACAATTATTCTGTTTTTCACCATATCTCACTTTCTTCTCTCGTATTTGTATGTTATTACAAATCCACTGGAGAAGTAATGTACGTCTCCTAACTTTTGGTGGATTTTTGAAACTTCAGATACAATAGTGTTAAACAGTCGATATCTGTACACAACCGTCTCAGTCACACTGGTTTGTTGCATTTCAGTGGGTGTCAGTAATCTGAGCGATGTTACTGGTACATTAGAAATCAAAGAACAGAAACTCATGGATTTGATTTGATTAGTCCTATCGATCGAAAAAAGGCTATGGTTTAATATGGAAAGCACATGACCTGGTCATTTCAGTCAATATTGCAAACCATATCATACCTCTTAACATGGTAGATAGCAAATGTCTAAAGACAGTTAACCTCCACAGACGTAAAGCACAACTCAGGAAACCTTTGCTTACTACACAATTCGAGAGAATGTACATCCGTGGAAAGTTCAACCGTGTTTCTTTAATCAGTCCCTCAATTATCACTTTTTTTATTATTATTATTATAATATCTGGAACTCTTATCTTCAGAAAGATAGTTTCATTCCCCCTGATTTTTTGCATAAATTAAACAATATAGAATAGCGGAGACTAGAAGCATAATTTTCTGTTTGACTGAGGTTAACAGACGATAACCTTGTGGCCGTCTAGCCAACCTTCATACCTCAACATATAATGCTGTCAAGAACACAATATCCAGCGAAGAGACTACTTTCAACAAATTTATTATCGAGCTGTACAATCGTATATATATATATATATATATATATATATATATATATATATATATATATATGTTTTTTTACGAAATTATATCCGGTGAGGGAATTAGATCAAAGGTGTGAATACATGAAATAATATTAGTAGTATGAAATGCAATTAAAATATTTCTGATTATAACCATAGTTTAATGTCAAGTGGCAAAATAATTAATGTCATATATAGAATGATGCATAAGGTGTATAGATTTTGGAAAGGGGTACATAACTAAATGATTATTAGACGAATATAAAATATTATGTAACATGGTGTGAAATTTGATAAGATAGAATTCAACATTGTAGAAATAAAAAAATTAATAATTTTTGGTTTAAAATGACAAGTGGGTCAAGTGGAAAAGATCCAGAGTGAGAATAGTAATAATAATAATAATCGTAGTAACAAGGGAAAAGTACATAGAATAACTAAATAAATAAATGTCTATCCCTTTACGGCCAAGGCAGAAGTACGGATTGTACATACTTCTTTTGTACACAAAAGTCTTGCTTAGAGTCACGAACTGCCAAGGCCTCATCTGTATTTAGAAGTCTGTAACGAAGAAAACGCAGAAAGTTAGCATGGATTCTATATATGATCTTGAAATCATGGTCAGGGTTGACCGAGTGACATAAGTCGATCAGGTGTTCCAGAATAGAGCTTCGTACACACTTCCTTTCTCCCTTGTAAAACCACGCTTTTTAAAAAACCATTTATATACTATTGTACAGCTTGATAATAAATTCGCTGAAAAGAGTCTCTTCGTTGATTATTGTGTTCTTAATGCTACAATGGGAATTATTAAATATAATGCTATCGCTAACACTCATTGAATGATGCTTCAAAGCCAAATTAATTCACTTATTATTTTCCGTGCTAAAAGCTTTAGACCTATTCTCATTGTCGCTCAGTCTGCCGTTCTACCATACTGGACGAGCGGTGTGAAGATGGTATAAGTCGAAAAAAAAGGGGCTGAATGAGTTAGAGGTCTTCCACAGGGCATTAAAATGAAATAAAGTGGACTTAATTATGATACACGTGTTCATTGTATGGAAGTGGAGCATGCTACTGACAGTTTGTTGCAATAATGTGAATGAGACAGAGTTCATAGCAATTCATCCCAGCGAACCGACAGCTGTCATGCCTTTTCTGTAACCAATAGAAACTGAATTAGTTAGAACAACCCAGTTTCTGTAATCTATGGTGAAATATATTTAAACAACCTATCACTTGTGGAAAAACCCAGTCAGGTGATTTGTTTCGAAAACACGGGTAAGGCGCCCGAAAAGGTGAGTGGTTTCAATCCAAAAAGTGATGTATTTCCCTAGATGACGTCGTTGATGTAGGAAATAATATCTAGTTACTTTTATTGACACGGAGAACGTGAGAAAAATAGAGATTAATTTATCCATTGTGTAAGTGTGGGAGATGGGTAAAAGTGTAGAGAGTGGTTGTTTCATTTTGAATTTTACCAACTTTTAGCCCACGCCTTATCCGATAAAAAGGTGCCCATCTACAGCACATTTCTCCACTTCACCTGTGCGCATTCTCTTATTCAAAAACAACCATGCTGCCACCCAGATCAAGCACGTGTCCATTGCATGCTTTCAATGGATAATTTTCTTCGACTGTATCTACTATGTTGGACAACATTTCAGATGTTATACTTTACACTAAACCGACGTCGTTTCGCTCAGTCTGTCTGCAGACAGAGTTCCGCTTCATGGGGTATGTATGTAATTCACGAGCTACATCTCTAGAAACGTTGACAAACAGAAGACGGTCTGGTACATTAGGCAATCGAAGGCTTAATATAACTTTAGTCTCTGACTGAGTAACAGAAGAAAGTGACTGATCTTCAAAGTAAACTTCATCACTATTCCTGTGAGAATATTAATTTGGGTTCTTATATTATATTTCTTTGATTTTTCTTCATCATGTATTAATTTATGCCATTTTAAGACTTTTAATATTTCCTGCGCAGTAGGAGAGGGCACATGGGTAAAGTGGGTGAAAATGTAGGCTAATTAGGTGAGGTATAGACAAAAGGTGAGCAAAATATCCACCTTCCTATCTGTCCCCTATTTTTATCATACTATCTCTCATTTTCCCCCTATTTTCCATTCTAT